TCTATTCTATTCCTTATTCCATAATTCTATTCTATTCCTTATTCCATTCCATAATTCAATTCAATTCTAATACTTTCCATTCTATTTATTCTAATTTTATCCTATATTCTATTCTATTCCCATTCCATTCATGTTCTGTTGTATATTTTATTCTATTCTTCTATCCTATCCCTGCTCTTATTCCTTTTCTAAGCTGGTGGAGGAGAACTCACATTTCTCTTCACCAAATTGTGTAACAAATTATGTACCAAGTCAAAATAAACAATCTTGAGGGTAAGCCGGCATGCTGTGTGGATCCCGACCTCATTTTTATGTACACCACCATGGATGGTCCCCTAAAGCAACTCCTAATTACGAACTTAAGTGGCTAACTTGTGGCATGCCAACTCTTGCTCCCGTGTCCTTGCAAATGACTACAAGACCTTTCCACCCGTGAACGCCCCTTCCCCTCTCTGAGGGGGGAGTCTTCTCCTTGCTTTCGTACATAAATAAAGGTAAAAGTTCCCCTTGCACATATGTGCTAGTCATTGCCGACTCTAGGGGGTGGTGCTCATCTCTGTTTCAAAGCCAAAGAGCCAGCGCTGTCCGAAGACGTCTCCGTGGTCATGTGGCCGGCATGACTCAACTCCCGAAGGCGCACGGAATGCTATTCCGTTCCCACCAAAGGTGGTTCCTATTTTTCCACTTGCATTTTTTACATGCTTTCGAACAGCTAAGTTGGCAGAAGCTGGGACAAGTCACGGGAGCTCACTCCATTACGCGGCGCTAGGGATTCAAACCGCTGACCTTTTTGACAAGCTCAGCTTCTTAGCGCCTGAGCCACCGCCTCCCCTTACATAAATAAAGAGGTGTTAATCTACTTTTCTAGATTTGGGCAAGGCGTATTTTTACGGACTTATTCGCTGTTCGTTCAAGGACGTCGTTGCTGAAGGAATACAGGCTGTGCATGAACTGAAGAAAGGGGTGGGGGTTAGTCAGAAGGAAAGTTGACCCACTGGGCTCCTAACTCACCCGCCCCCAAACACACACACACATCTTGGGGTCTTTTGAGCCCCGTGCAGAGAAGCCTTGGCAGCGAAGCCTGAACCGAACAGAGAGGGGAAAGGAGATGAACAAAGTAGGAAACTGGTTGTTGTTTTTAATCAGTCTTTACAGGTTTCGCTGTACAATTCCACACAAACAAGGGGTGGAGTTTGTGACCCCACTGAAACCCCAGCTATAAATTATATCCCCACCCACCCCGGCAGGAAGGCAGGCTCCGCGCAAGGGGGAAGCAGCTAGCCGTGGGCCGCCTTCTCTTTGTACGTGGCCATCATCTTCTTGATTTCGGCAATTGCCTTCCCGGGATTCAGGCCCTAAGGAAGAGAAAAGGATGGGGAAGGGAGGGTTTGGTGGGCACGGTTCTGGCCCTGGCTCGGCTCACCCTCGCTCGAGGCAGCCGGCTCCCATCCCAGGTGGGGGACCTGGTCCCAAGCACCCACCTTAGGGCAGGCCTGCGTGCAGTTCATGATGGTGTGGCAGCGGTAGAGGGAGAAAGGGTCCTCCAGTTGGGCCAAGCGCTCCTCCGTGTAGTCGTCCCGGGAGTCGATCATCCAGCGGTAGGCCTGAGGGAGCAGCCGCTCTTGGGAAGGATCCGCTTTTCCTCTCTCTCTCCCCCACCCCCCCACTGCCTCCCGGGCCTTAAGAGCAGAGGCCCACCTCCCCATCCAGCGCCTGCTGAGACAGCAGCCAGCCGAGGGGCAGGGGGAGAGGGGTCTTTTGCCAGCGGCCCCCGTTACCTGCATGAGGACGGCTGGGCCAAGGTACTTGTCCGCGTTCCACCAGTAACTGGGGCAGCTGGTGCTGCAGCAAGCGCAAAGGATGCACTCGTAGAGCCCGTCCTGGGAGAGAAAGAGACGCCTCGTGAGGGAGGAGAGGAATTCCCTGAAGAGGCAGACAGTGCGACCCCTGTAGCCCACCAGCCTCTCTCCTTTCCCCCCTCCTCTCTCTCTCCCTTCTTCTCTTTTCCCTCTCTTTTTCCCTTCTCTCCTCTCTCCCTCCTTCTTTTTGCGTTCCCTTCTCCCTCTCCTTTCCCCTCTCCTTCTCTTTTCCCTTCTCCTTTCCCCCTCTCCTTTTTTCCCTTCTCTCCTCTCCCTCCTTCTCTTTTCGCGTTCCCTCCTCCCCCTTTCCTTCTCTCTTTTCCCGTCTCTCCCCTTCTCCTTTCCCCTCTTCTTTTTCCCTTCTCTCCTCTCTCCCTCCTTCTCTTTTTCCGTTCCCTCCTCCCTCTTCTTTCCCCCTCTCCTCTCTTTTCCCTTCTCTGTCCTCTTTCCTCCTTCTCTCTTTCCTCGCCTTTTCCCCTTCTCCCTCCCCCTCTACTTCCCTTTCTCCCTTCTCTCTCCTCTTCCCTCCTTCTCTCTCCCTCTCCTCCTCTTTTTCTCTTTCCCCCTTCCCCTTCTCTCCTCTCCTTCCCCCCCTCTCCTTTTTCTGTCTTTATCCCCTCCTTCTTTTTCCCTTCTCTCTCCTCTCTCCCTCTCCTTTCCCCCCATCTTTTTCCTCTCCTTTTTCCATTCTCTCCTTTCCCCCTCTCTCTTCTCCCTTTTCCCTTCTCTCTTCCCCCTTATTTTTTCCTCTTTTTCCCTTCTCCCCTTCCTTCCTCTCCTTTCCCCTCTCCTTCTCTCCTTCCCCCCCTTTTCCATTTCCTCTCCCCTCTCCTGTCTCACTTTTTCCCTTCTCTCTCTCCTTTCCCCCCTCCTTCTGTCTCTTTTCCCCTCTCCTATCCTTCCCCCCCTCTCCTCTGTCTCCCCTCTCTCTCTCCTCCCATTTTCTCTTCTGTCCCCCCTTTTCATTCTCTCCTCCCTCCTCTGTCTCTTTCCTCTCTCCTTTTTGCCTTCTCTCTCTCTCTCTCCTCCCATCCACCCCAGGGG